CCAAAACCCCAAAACCCCAAAACCCCGAGCAGATATATAAGTTTAATATTTTGATAGGAATTATAATATAAATATAAACTTAATGAGAAATCAAAACCAGCAAAATCAAGCAAATTTTAAGCAAGCCTAATCATTTAACCAAAATCAAAAATTACTGAACTAGCCAAAAGCCTAAATAGCTCAGTAGTCTATTAATCCTAGAGACTAATCTTCAGGAAACAAACAGCAAGCAAGAAATCAACAGTTGAATAATCAGGAATTTCATCAGATTTCTCCACATAATTAAATGATGCAGCAAATTGTTAGCTAATCTCCTGGATAAGCCCCATAGTAATTTAAGCAAGGAATGAATCATAACTTGTTCTCAACTCCCCCGCCTAGTATTCAGAATAATAAGTAAATTCCCTAACAGACTAATATTCCAATGAGGCAAGGCCAAGGTTCAAATCCAAACATGGTTCTAAAACAGGCAAAACAGCCAATTTAAACTAAACCAGTTTAACCTAAGAGATCAAAATCTCACTAGCCTGTAATCTAGCAAAGATTGGCTCCAAGTAACTAGACTTCTGTGCCCTAGGGTTAAGTTCAAGGAGTCCTAGGTAGCAAGATAAAGCCATAGCCTATTCCAAGAAGATTCAACTAGAATAGTAATCATGTTCCAGATAATCAAAGTAATCCTAAGAAGCCAATAAATGCTGCAAATTAGAGACCACCCTAAGGAGCATCACATTCTGTCCCAAGATAAAACTTGAACAAAATGAAAGAGAAATTGAAGAACATAGAGGAAAGTAAACAGAAAGTTGCTGAGTTTTACAACTAGAATGATTTATTGATAGAGGATATCTTTAGTATCACAGATATCTAGAGGCTATTTGATGTTATCAAAGTAAGAAATGATTAACTGATAGACTTGGTCAGCAAAGGTAGAAGTGACTGTCTCAGCTTCACAGGTATGCAGATATTATTTTAATGAATATTTAGAGGAAGCAATCCAAGTTACACAAGATGCTTTGAATATAGTTAAAGATGAACAAGAGATTTGCCTCTAGAGATAGAAGCAGCTTAAAAGTGACAGCTAGAAAATAAGCAATATCTACCAGACCTAGCTCGCTCCTCTTGAACTTCTCAGCCAACTCAATTGACCTTATTCTTATTAATTACATTTTAATTTAATTATTTTTATACTTTCAATATCTAGAAGTATGGGGTTTTGGGGTTTTGGGGTTTTGGGG